CCGCCCCGTCGCCGCCGCGTCGCCGCACCACACAGCTTGCACTACCTCTATTGCACAACATAGGTGGCGCCACATATCCACACCGATTGCACCACATACACTGTTCCACAATGATTGCTCACCATAGATTGCACACTATACATTCCACTCAACAGATTGCACAACCTATATTGTTCCACGTCGTTTACACCACGTAGATTGCTCCACCTAGATTGCACAACATCTACAGAATCTACTGCTAGAAACAATATGTTTGGGGTACATATAACGAGTCGGGTGCACAACTGAACCTCAACATCTAGATGGTATCTGCAGTGCTCGCCCCGAGTTTTCAATGCGATTGGGGCAGAAGGACAGGACAGCCCAGCAAGTGCTGTGTCAGGTGGGACGACGTGTTGGTGTATGCAGAGACGCCACTAGCGATCGAATTGCACCGTGCTCGGAGCAGGGCTGATGTCGATGCCTCAGCTCGCCTTTGACGCAAAATAGTAGGATATTAGAAACACATACTGGGAAAACAAAATACAAGACGACGGGATGAAGGCGTAGAAACCCGCAATCCGCAAGCGCAAGGGGTGAAGAAAAGGGAAATGAACGAAAGGGGAAGTGGAGGAAGAGGGGGGGCATCAAGGGGAGGGAGGGAGGACGAGGGGGGGGGACGAGGGGCGGAGGAGGCGGCAAAAAAAGGGGGGGAAACAAAGCAATTCACATAATCAGGGAAAAAGGAGGATCCACCCGCCGGCTCTGGCTGGCCGTGGCCACGAAGCTCGCCGTCTGCCGCGACCGACGCGGCCGCGGGCGCCAGCTCCACGCATCGGAGAGAGTACCCCCGAAACGCGGCGCCGGCGCCGCCCGAGTTGGGGACGGAGAGCGCCGGCTTCGTGTACAGTCGGGGCGTTGACCTAAGGAACCCTGAATAAGGAACGATGCCCCTTTTCTCCACACATTGAACTTCGAGTTCCCATGGAAAACCTAAGGAAAACCTGAGGCAAACTGCGAAGCAACTAAGGAACACGGAGCCCCTCCCCAACGAGAAGGGTTCCTTCTTCAGGGCCCCGACAAGATCCCTCCAAGAGGCCCCCGAGAGGCATCCCAGAAGACCCTCAAGTTCATCCAACATGCTCCTGATCCACAGCCCAGGCACGGTGGCGGGTTGGGCCGAAGGCCACTAGATCCGCCGCCCCCTGCTTGCAGGGGTGCACGGCGTGCTGGACGATTCAGGTTTTGGTTTTGGTTCTTTTTCTAAAAGAACTCCCCAGTGGGCTTCGGCTCGTCCCGCCGGCCACCCGCGAATTTCCCAAAATCCGTCTGTCAATCGCCAAAAACGGCCGTTTCGCTCGGGACATCCTCAAAAAATCGCGAAGATGGCCCAAGATGGCCTCCAAGTCCGCCCGAGATGGTCCAAGACGGCCTCCAAAACGGCCCAAGAGAGTCCAAGACGGCCGAAGACGGCCCAAGAGGCCCCCCAGAGGCCTCCCAGACGGCCCAAGAGGCCTCCAAGAGGTCCTCCAGGAGAGTCCGAAGAGGCCAAAATCATTGATTTTCCATTGGTTTTTGAAGGATTGTGGCATTTGCGCCTTTTCGGCTCTCCGACGGCTCAAGACGGCCCAAGAAGCCCCCAAGATCGCCCAAGAGGCCCCCAAGAGAGCCCCATGATGGCCCAAGTGGCCTCCAAGATGGCCCCTAGAGGGCCCCAAGAGGGCCCAAGAGGCCTCCAACACGCCCAAGATGGCCTCCCAGACGCCCAAGATGGCCTCCAAGACGGCCCTGGAGCATTCCAAGCGGGCCCCAAGTCGGCCCATAGAGGCCCCCCAAACGGCTTCCGACGGCTTCAGACGTGCCAGGAACCCACCAAGATGGCCGAAGTTGGCTCGAAGCTGGCCCGAGACGGCCCAAAAAGCCCCAAAGATCGCCCAAAGCTTGCCCAAGAGGCCTCCAAGACGGCCAAGATGACCTTCAAGATGCCCACGTGTTCCCCGAAGGCTTTCCAAACCGATTCGGGGAACACGTGGTCCGATAGCTTGGCAGGTCTGGCCTCAACGTTCGGCCACATAGGCGCTTCCAAAAAGGCAGGGGGCGGCGGTGATTCGCCGTAGGCGTCTTCGATCCGCCGCCCCCTGCTTGCAGGGGTGCACGGCGTGCTGGATGATTCAGGTTTTGGTGTTGGTTCTTTTTCTAAAAGAACTCCCCAGTGGGCTTCGGCTCGTCCCGCCTGCCACCCGCAATTTTCGGAAAACCCATCTCTCAATGCCCAAAAACGGCAGTTTCGCTCGGGACATCCTCAAAACATCGCGAAGATGGCCCAAGATGGCCTCCAAGTTCGCCCGAGATGGTCCAAGACGGCCTCCAAAACGGCCCAAGAGAGTCCAAGACGGCCCAAGACGGCCCAAGAGGCCCCCCAGAGGCCTCCCAGACGGCCCAAGAGGCCTCCAAGAGGTCCTCCAGGAGAGTCCGAAGAGGCCAAAATCATTGATTTTCCCTTGGTTTTTGAAGGATTTTGGCATTTGCGCCTTTTCGGCTCTCCGACGGCTCAAGACGGCCCAAGAAGCCCCCAAGATCGCCCAAGAGGCCCCCAAGAGAGCCCCATGATGGCCCAAGTGGCCTCCAAGATGGCCCCTAGAGGGCCCCAAGAGGGCCCAAGAGGCCTCCAACACGCCCAAGATGGCCTCCAAGACGCCCAAGATGGCCTCCAAGACGGCCCTGGAGCATTCCAAGCGGGCCCCAAGTCGGCCCATAGAGGCCCCCCAAACGGCTTCCGACGGCTTCAGACGTGCCAGGAACCCACCAAGATGGCCGAAGTTGGCTCGAAGCTGGCCCGAGACGGCCCAAAAAGCCCCAAAGATCGCCCAAAGCTTGCCCAAGAGGCCTCCAAGACGGCCAAGATGACCTTCAAGATGCCCACGTGTTCCCCGAAGGCTTTCCAAACCGATTCGGGGAACACATGGTCCGATAGCTTGGCAGGTCTGGCCTCAACGTTCGGCCACATAGGCGCTTCCAAAAAGGCAGGGGGCGGCGGTGATTCGCCGTAGGCGTCTTCGATCCGCCGCCCCCTGCTTGCAGGGGTGCACGGCGTGCTGGATGTTTCAGGTTTTGGTTTTGGTTCTTTTTCTAAAAGAACTCCCCAATGGGCTTCGGCCCGTCCCGCCGGCCACCCGCAATTTTCCCAAAATCCATCTGTCAATGCCTTTGTTGCCCCAACTTGGCCCAAGATGGCCTCCAAGACGGCCAAGATGGCCCAAGATGGCCTCCAAGATGCCTCCCAGACGGCCAAGATGGCCTCCAAGACGGGTAAGATGGCTCCAAGATGCCTCCAAGACGGCCCAAGATGCCCTCCAAGACGGCCAAGATGGCCCCAAGATGCCTCCAAGATGGCCCAAGAGGCCTCCAAGACGTTCTCCAGGAGAGCCCGAAGAGGCCAAAATCATTGGTTTTCCTTAGGTTTTTGAAGGTTTTTTGCGTTTTCTTCTTTTCGGCCTTCCGACGGCCCAAGAGGCCCCCAAGATCGCCCAAGAGGCCTCCAAGAAGGCCCTATGACGGCCCAAGGGCCCCCCAAGACGGCCCCAAGAGCGCCCCAAGACGGCCCAAGAGGCCTCCAAGACGACCAACATGGCCTCCAAGACGGCCCTGAAGCGCCCCAAGAGGGCCCCAAGACGGCCCAGAGAGGCCCCCAAGACGGGCCCAGACGGCGTCAGACGGACTAGGAACGCCCTAAGACGGCCAAAGAAACCCCCAGGAAGCCCCCAAAGGCCCCCAAGAGGCCCAAGGAGGCCCCCAAGATGCCTCCAAGAGGCTTCGAAGACGCCCCCAAGAAGCTCCCAACAGACCCCAAGGGTGCCCCAAGAGACTCCTAACAACCCTCATCCTCCTACTCTATTTCTTCCTCTTCCTCTTCCTGTTCATAATCATTCTCTCCCATGTGTTCCCCGAAAGCTTTCCAAACCGACTCGGGGAACTCATGGTCCGATAGCTTGGCCAAGCTCTAGTCCAACTTTCGGCCACATCGGCGTTTCCAAAAAGGCAGGGGGCGGCGGTGATTCGCCGTAGGCGTCTTCGATCCGCCGCCCCCTGTGGTCTTGCAGGGGTGCACGGCGTGCTGGATGATTCAGGTTTTGGTTTTGGTTCTTTTTCTAAAAGAACTCCCCAGTGGGCTTCGGCCCGTCCCGCCGGCCACCCGCAAGTTTCCGAAAATCCGTCTGTCAATGCCTTTGTTGCCCCAACTTGGCCCAAGATGGCCTCCAAGACGGCCAAGATGGCCCAAGATGGCCTCCAAGATGCTTCCAAGACGGCCAAGATGGCCTCCAAGACGGGTAAGATGGCTCCAAGATGCACCCAAGACGGCCCAAGATGGCCTCAAGATGGTCTAAGACGGCCCAAAAGGCCCGCAAAAGGCCTCCAAGACGGCCCAAGAGCCCTCCAAGACGCCCTCCAGGAAGGCCCGAATAGGTTAAAATCATTGATTGTCCTTAGGTTTTTCAAGGATTTTGGCATGTTCTTCTTTTCAGCTCTCCGACGGCCCAAGACGGCCCAAGAGGTCCCCAACATCGCCCCAACAGCACCCAAGAGGCCTCCAAGATGGCCCCATGACGGCCCAAGAGGCCCCCAAGAAGGCCCCAAGACGGCCTCAAGACGGCCCAAGAGGCCTCCAAGACGCCCAAGATGGCCTCCAAGACGGCCAAGATGGCCCAAGATGGCCCAAGATGCCTCCAACACGCCCAAGATGGCCTCCAAGACGGCCCCGAGCGCCCCAAGAGGGTCCCCCGTTGGCCCAGAAAGGCCCCCAAGACGGCTCCCGACGGCGTCAGACGTGCCAGGAACCCACCAAGATGGCCGAAGTTGGCTCGAAGCTGGCCCAAAAGGGCCCAAGAGGCCCCCAAGAGGGCCTCCAGGAAGGCCAGAAGAGGCCAAAAACATTGATTTTCCTAAAGTTTTTGACGGATTTTGACATTTCCTTCTTTTCGGCCTTCCGACGGCCCGAGACGGCCCAAGAGCCCCCAAAGATCGCCGAGAGATCGCCCAAGAGGCCTCCAAGACGGCCAAGATGACCTTCAAGACGCCCACGTGTTCTCCGAAGGCTTTCCAAACCGATTCGGGGAACACATGGTCCGATGGCTTGGCAGGTCTGGCCTCAACGTTCGGCCACATAGGCGCTTCCACAAAGGCAGGGGGCGGCGGTGATTCGCCGTAGGCGTCTTCGATCCGCCGCCCCCTGTTGGCTTGCCACAGGGGTGCCCGGCGTGCTAGATCCTTTCGATTTTGGTGTTGGTTCTTTTTCTGAAGAACTCCTCCTGGCCGCGAGCTCGGGAGCGGCCAAGAGGGGGGTGTCCAAGAGGGGGGGGTGCACATCATGACCGGCGGCACGTGCGCGGCCCAGCGGGGAGACCAGGGACGTCATGAGACAAGAAGAGGCGCCGTGAAGCCTGAGGAAGAATCATGGCCCGCGCCATGCAATCCCCCCCCCCCCTGGTCATCATCCCCCTCTCTGCCGCCCCCGACGAGCGCGGCGGTCGCCGAGGGGGGCCGCCCGGGCATCCCGGGGGGGGGGGGGCCCGCCGGGCCTCCCCGAGCGGCGGCGCGCGAGGGGCGCGCCTTCTTCCCGACGAGGTGCCGGTAGCGCGGGTCCTCAGGCGGGCGGTGCAGGCCGCGGGCGGGGCGGGGCTCCGCCGCTCCCCCCCATCGAGGGAGCGGGCAGGAGGTCGACGGCAGACTTGATCTGCCCCAGCCTCGAAAGGTTCGTCGAGTCTACGGAGGGTGAATGGGATGGCCGCAGATCCGCTCGTGTTCTTTCCTGGTAGGTTCGACGCAAAACAATTCTGGCGCAAATCAATTATCTAATCGATCTCCTACTCGAAGAGAAGGTCCCAAACCGTCAACGCCTCGAACAAAAGCAAAGCCACTTTCTTTCGTCGTTCTAGGCATCTGGGCGCCGATTTAAGGCTCTGGGGCTGTCAGTGAAGAGCTTGGACGAAAACCAGTCCCCACGACTTGTCGAGAGGTCCAGGGGGGGCGCATCGATAATATCAACACATCGTGGGTCTGGGGAGGCAGAGCAGCGCCAGGACTGCATTGACGAGCCGCTCCTAAGCATTTTCAACTCAACCTCTGAGTCCGCATCGCTCGCAGCGGAATTACATCTACGCTTGGGCAGACCGCGAAGTGGGTTGCATGCGAACCCTGATGTCGCACTCAGAAAAAAACCTGCTCTGGCAACGCGGGGTCACACTTTCCAGCGGAGGTTGGGTGAGGGCCGCGGTGTGTATGTACATATGTATATATATAGATAAGCAAGTAAAAACGTGGAGTGGAAACATGAGTTTCCAACATCTTCTTTCCTGACCTTACAATCACGAAGCTAAATGCATGCATGTGTATCCGCCACCTCTCCAGGCGGCGCGAGTTGGAGTATCCTCAGGTCCTTGGCCTCATCCCGTAAGCGTCAGTCCTCAATCCTGGGTTCTTTAAGGGGCCCGGACCCAAAATGTTCAAAGCTTCCCAAGCTTCTCGAGTGCCTCCTGGGGTCAGTCGCGTTGTGGCGCATGACTTCTGCTTCGGGCCCACGAGGGCCCCAAGACGAGCCAAGAGCGCTCCAAGAGGCCCCCAAGACGGTCCAAGAGGGCTCCAAGTCGCCGAAAGATCGCTCCAAGACGCCCACGTTGGCCTCAGGACGGCCCAAGATGGCCCCCACGACGTCCCAAGAGGCCCCCGAAAGACTGCACAAAGAGGCACAATCGATTGATGTTCTGTGAGTGTTTGAAAGATTTGGGCGTTCTCGCCTTTTCGGCGTCACGACGCTCCAAGATGGCCCAAGAGGCTGCCAAGATCGACCCAAGATCGCCCCAAGAAGCCTCAAGAGGGCCCCAGAGCGGACCAAGAGGGCCCCAGACGGCCCAAGAGGCGCCCAAGACGGCCCAAGAGGCCGCCAAGACGGCTCCGACTAGGGGCCCAGATGGGGGACTCGCACGAACATTTCAAGCCCTCGGCCCCGAGAGGCCCCCAGGAGACCCCAGGAGGCCCAGTAGGCACAACGAGTCCCGCAAGAGGCCCCCAGGAAGCCCCAGGAGGTCCCGAAGAGGCTCCAAAGAGGCTCCAAAGCTGCCCCCAAGAGGCCCCCGAGAGCTCTTCGAAGAGACCCCAAGAAACACGCCTGAGAACTCTGACCCACAACCCAAGCACGGTGGCGGGATGGGCCGAAGAAGATTCGAAACATATATACATATGTATGCAAGCATCTGTATGGATGTATGCGGACGTATGTATGTAGATATGTGTGTATATGTATGTATGTATATGGGTATATGCCAATGTAGATGTGTGTACGTGTGCTTATGTGTACATGTAGACAGATACAAACATATACAAACACATACAAACCTATATATATATATATATTTATGTACGCATCCGTGTATGTATACCTATGTGCGTGTATACATCGGAGGTTCGGGGTTGGGATCGGCAAAGAATTCAGCGGCCCAACAGGGAAGTCGATTTCGGTGTCGGTTCTTGTCGTGCCTGGCGCGAGTGCGCGCGAGGCAAGGCGAAGATTCGAGAGTGCCTGCTCACATAGAAAGCAAGCCAAGCCAACATGAATCGCCCTGCGGGCGACCCTGCCCGTGTGCGATTTGTCCCGATGGTTGTCCCGATGGTTGCCCTGATGGATTTCTGGATGATTGTCCCGATGGTTGTGCCAATGGTTGTCCCGATGGTCTTCCCTAAGGTTGCCCCGATGATTGTTCTGATGGTTGCCTCGATGGTTGTCCTGCTCGTTGCCCCGATGGTTGCCCCGATGGTTGTCCCGATGGTTCTGCGAGGCCATAATGCATAAACGTAGGCGCTGCGAGGCTACAGGACAAAGGATGCTCCCCGCTGAAGAAATGTATAAATGGCCATGCGGAGTGGGAGAGAGAACAGTTAGACATATGGATCACTAGGTGGGACAGGGTGGAGAAGCAGTGGTGTTAGTAGATGGACAGATAGACATACATATGTACAGAAAAGGGAAAGGTACGTATGGACAGATAACCTAGTTGTTCCGATTGTAGTCCCAATGGCTGTCTCGATGGTTGTTCTGACATATAGATAATGGAGTCGACACATAGATGGGCAATGCGATCGGTAAATGTGTGATGAGACCGGTCAATGGTGATACCAGTAGGCAGGTTATACGCATGTATATAAACAGGCAGGCAAGTAGCGACACATACATGTGTATACATCTATATAAGTATACGTGGTCGAACGGAATGGTTTGAAGAGACATGTAATTCAATCGATAGACATCTGAAATTGTGCGTGTATATATATATATATGTATGTGCCGATATCCGATGTGTGAAGATATCGATATATACATATAGACAGGTGTATGTAGCTATGTAGACTGACAGCTAGGTATACGAAAACCAGATTGGCGCCCGGACACATCGAGGGGCGCCGCCCCTCCTCCCATCTGCGCCCCCCCTCCTTCTGCTGCCATCCTTCCCGCTTGCTACCCCCGCTGGTCAAGCCTCGTGCCAACTCCTTCCCATGTCCACTGATCCCTCTCCACTCCTCCGTTGTCTCCCTCCGCCCTCCCGACCTCAATGCTCACAACACCGACCCTCACAGCTCAACCCTCACAGCGCAGCCTTCCCCATCCCGTATCCCGCTCCCCATCAGCTACGCCCATCCACCTCTGCCCTCCGCCTACACTCCCCCCCCACGCCCCCCCCCCACACCCCACCCACGATCACTTCGGCCTCCCCCCTGACCTCGATGTCCACTCCCCTCCCCGCAAACAACGTATTCCCTCCATTTCCACCTCGACATCAACCATTACCCTGCTCTTACTTGCCCTCCTGTTCCTCCTTCTCCTCCGCCACCAACCGCCTTTCCAGCTCTACCTCGACCTCCACCCCTACCTGAACCCCCATCTGATACCCCCAACAGGGGGACTGCGCATGGACATGAAACCCGTGCCCTGCGGTGCAAGATGCCCCATAGACCTCCACTTTTGATGTTGGCGGCGTGTCTATTGAGGGCGTGAGAGGACCACAAATGTTCGCACCACAAATTGCCATTCGCATTGAAATCGCCATTGATACTGTGGGGGGGCGGGGTGTCCATGGAAACCAAAACGTACCGTACCGATACCGCTACTCCCTGGACCTCTGCCAGGGTGCGTTCTGAGCGGAACTTCGAGGCGAATCCAGCGGCGGCGACGACGGACTCCCAGGAGGCTCAAGACTGCGAAAACGAGGGAAGGGTAGCGGTGTGGGTGCCATTTCCTCCTCTGAATATCGACATCCCCTGAGATTCGCAAGGGAACAATACCACTGAGTGCCCATCTGCCGGAGAAGCCGGGGGGGGGGGGAGCGGACGCACATCGCGCGTGTGCGCGTGATCGCTGCAAAGTGCACCTCTCTGGTCACGGGCATGCGCCAGGACCGTAGCCAGAAGAAGAAGAGGTTACAAGGGCAAGTGCACGCTTAAGCCTCACTCCGAAGAAAAAGTAATGATGGGCCAACGGCGAAGCACACTGCGGACATAGTGCTTGGCAATTGCTAGCATAAACGCTCGCGTAGACTCAAACAGTGGCATGGTTCATCAGGCTCCACAGATCGCATGATGCATATGCGCGTATAATGGCAGCCACATGTGAATATCTGCCCAGGAGTACGAAGTGATGGTGCGATCGATCGTTTACTCTGTTTCCCACGCTGCAGACCAAGAAATAGCGGAAACTTGCCCGCGTAATGCATGTCCCTCTCAGTATCGCGAGGATGAGCGGACCACATTGCTTGGAGACATACTCTAGTAAACTCCGCACAACCTGACTGAATGAACCACCGGGAGCCCAGATGATTAGAGAATCCTCTGGGTGCACGCACACCGCCGAGTCGCCCAGGATGGTCTCTGGTCTTGTCGTGGCCACTGGGATGAACTCATCCTCGGAGAAGCAGCGGGCGCGCGAGAGAAATCGGGTGAAGGCACACACGCAGAGAACGGACGCGCTGCGTGCCATAAGAAACGCATGCTGCACAGAAAACACATCAGCATTGTCCAACCAAGAAATTATGCGTTTCACCGAAGGGTTGGCAAACCCGCGCAAATGACAGCATAGAAATGCACATCACGACATACTCGCACGATGATGCCTTCGCTGGACCGAACCATGTTCTGACACGCAGAAGAAATGCGTGCCCCTTCCAACGCCCACCCCGCACCCACCCGCCACCCCAACCACACTCTTCACCCCTACCAAGCCTGAACTCGTCAAGTGCTGAGGCTAGGAACGACACATACCCTGTCTACGTCGGCTGCCCCCCGAAGCATGCACGGAACGAGATCATGCAAACCGAGCCTACATTCACTGTTCCAGTTGCAACTATCAGACAAACGATCAAGCCCAGTCTATGCTGAAATGAAACCCATGTGCCAACTCAAGCCAAGAATCTGAATTCACGTCCTCACTTCCCTCGACCACGTACTTGAAATGGTAGAGGTAGCCGGCCTATGCAAATTAGCAACACACACACACAAACACTGATCGGCACAATCTACTGTTTGTGATACGTGCGAAAGCTCACTACGCCACACAGCGCTACCATGGGCCGAAACCAAAGAGGAGTGCTGCCGATGATGCACACGACACGTGCAGAGGTCTGGACGGCATGATCCCAGTTCACCACTGCGTTAAACCAGGACAAGAACACGAAATTCGGCTACCTGTTGGGGTCTCCTGGGCTCCTGCGCGTATGAAGCAATCCTCGCTCCCAAAACCACTGCCCCGGGAGTCTTGTATGGCCAACTTGGAGGGAGAGTCGCGCATAGGTCAACGGTACCAGCTGTGCCTGAGCTTATGGTTTTCTGTTTCCAGCCGTGGGCAAGACCTCTTTTTACTTGGATGCTCATTCTGGGGACCTTCCTGGAGACGCTCGCTCCGCTCGTGCGTCGAAGATGCGTCGACCGTCCGTCGATTCGAGTCGGACTTGAGTCGAATTAGAGTCGAGCTGATCCGTTTGGTGGGCCTCAGGAAGGTCCCAAAAACGAGCGTCTAGGTTTACTGTTTCTGCAACAGGCTCGTCTCTTTGGAGTTGGCTGCTGGGACCTCGCCAACGAGAAATCTTCTCAGGGTTTTTCTCCCTCTCCATGCACTCTGGGACTTCCCTGACACTTCTCGATCAAATTCCTGCAGAACTTCATCGCGCAGAAACCACACATCTGCTGGGGTTCACACTGCTGGTAAATACCAAAGGTATGACTTTCATGGTGATTTCTGCCATTGAGGTCTCGTGGCCCAGCTGGAGATATCGAAACATTCCACCCAACAAAAATCTGGACTGCATGGCTTCTCGACGAAACGCTCTAACTCACGGCGCGGCGCGAATTCCCCGCACTCGGTGCACCGTACTGTGTTATCGCACAAACGCACGCCCTGGTGTACTGTGCCGCAACCGCGCGCCAAAAACGTACTGCTACTGTCAGCTGTGCCGGCGGTGGTCGTCTGCTCCAAGTGTCCGCAGACGTATTGTCATGTCCCAGAATGATTCCACATGGCCGCCCATACCACGCAAGGTTATCACAGTTCACCCTTCCTGGTCTCCGGCAGTGTCCATAAGGTTTGAACATGCCCACAGGGCGGCTAGATGTGGCCACACGGCTCCCCAACTCCCAAGATTCCAAAACTATTGGTTCCCCGTTGGATGATCGTTTCGCGCGCTCTCCATTTTGTCTCGACAAGGGCTCCCCAGGACGAGCCGAGTGCGCGTCAGAAGGAGCCCACGACGGCTCGCTCCAACGACTGCGGGACGGCGGTTTTCGGCGGCGAGGAGGAGCACCGCCTTGAGTAAAAAAGGGAGGAGTCTAGAGAGGGAGCGTTGTTGTTGCTGGGGCGGCGCCGATGAGAGAAAGATTTGCGCGCCAGTCCGAAGCAAAACGGGAGAAAGTCTCGAGCGGTAGCGCTGGCTTTGTTGGGACGGCGGCTTTCGGCGGCGAGCAAAAGCACCGGCCTTTAGTAAAAAAGGACGTCTCGAGCGGGAGCGTTGTTGTTTGGGGGCTGGTTTGGGCGCCCCCCCAAACCGCTCGAGCGTGAATCTCATTTTCAATGGAAATGTAGCCGGCGCCAAAGCGAGAGCGCCAAGGCGCCTGTGGGGGGGTCCAACAGTAGTAATTGTCTACCAATTAATCTTCAACAACACCAGCGACAGCAGCAACTCCAACAACAACAGCAGCAGCGACAGCGACAACAACAACAACGCCAACAACAACAACAACAACAACAACAACAGCAGCAACAACAACAACAACAGCAACAACAACAACAGCAACAGCAACAACAACAACAGCACCAACCACAACAACACCACCGCCAACAACAGCAACAATCATATTGATAAAGTTCGCTCTGATCTGCTCGCATGCCACTCGCCACGTATGTCCCAAATCCTCGATACCCCCCTCTTCGTTTTCGATCGTACCCTTTTGGGGTATAGCGTTCTTTCCTGCAACATGTATTTCGTATGGCCCTCAAGGCAGGGGAAAACAAAGAAGGATGGAAAGAAGGGGAGGGAGGAGGATGGAACACGAAAGAGAAACAGTAGCAGGATGGGGACTAGGAGCAGAACGCACGTGGCAGAATCAGACGAGCAGGTCGGGCATGTAGACCCGAACAAGCGGGTCGGGAAGGCGGGCTCAAGCGGCCAGATCGAGCAGGCAGGTTGCTGAAGCGTGCGTCCTGCATGAATCGCGAGGAAGTCTTGAGCGACAGCGCGATTCCCAAAATGAATCATAAAAGGAAATCTATAGCGAGAGTGCGAGTCCTGAGTGTCGAGGGCGCAGCGTCCGAGTACATTGCGATGAAATCCCACGCGAGAAAGCGATGTCTGCCTAACGTGTGAGGATGTCCCGCGCGACTGCGCGATTTGATAAGACACTATGAGAAAATATAAGGCAAGAGCCGCTGACCTCTCAATTTTGAAAAATAAGTGTGGTTGATCCCCCTGTTCTGGTGACCATCGTGCTTTTTCAATTGAAGTGCTTCCCCCAGGGCCCGCACCTTGTCTTTGCATCAAGGGAAATTACTCGGTTCAAGCTGGGTTGTTGTCCCCCGGATTAGAACAACGGCTCCCGCTTTAGATGTCCTCAAAATTTAGCCAAGACCTCCGCTCCCGCCTGATACGTCCTCGCAGTTTACTAAGGAGTCGCGCTCTCGCGTGCGACTTCCTTACAATTCATTCAGGAATCGCTCTCGGCGATCCGGAGTCGCGCCCTCACTGGAGACTTGCTTGCACTTTACTCAAAAATCGCGCTCTCGCGCTGGAGTTCCCCGCAATTTACTCAAACGCCGCACTCCTGACTGCCAGGCACCCACCTTACTTAGGAATCGGGATATCGCTGCTCTTCGCGGCCCCGTTGCAGCCCTTCGTGGCCCCGTCGCAGCCCTTCGTGACCCCATTGCAGCCCTTCGTGGCCCCCTCGCTGCTCTTCGCTGCCCCGTTGTAGCCCTTCGTGGCCGCGTTGCAGCCCTTTCTGGCCCCCTCGCTGCCTTCGTGGCCGCGAATATGTATGCCCTTCGTGGCCCCCACTCGTTCGCCCCCGTCGTGGCCCCAGATGCATGCGCTTCGAGGCCCGCTGTCGCCATTCGTGGCTCCCTCGCTGCCCTTCGCGGCCCCGTCCTTCCCTCTGCGGCCCAATTTACACATCCCCTTCGTGGCCCCCGCTCGTTCGCGCCCGCCGTGACCCCATATGCACGCCCTTCGTGGCCCTGCTGTCGCCCTTTGTGGCCTTCTCGCTGTCCTACGTGGCCCCGTTGCTACCCTCAGTGGCCCCGTCCTTGCCCCCTGTGGCCCCGCATTATCTGCCCTCCGTGGCCCCCGCTCGTTCGCCCCCTTCGTGGCCCCATACGCATGGCATCCGTGGACCCGCTGTCGCCCTTCGCGGCCCCCTTCCTGCCCTTCGTGGCCCCGCTGTCGCTCTCGCTCTCGCATTCGCTCATCGTCGTCGTCGTCGCGGTCGATCCCCTGTCCGTCCCACTTGGGGTCGGGTGATCGCCGGTTAGCGCTGCCGCTGCCCAAGGCGACGGTCCGCGGCCGCCCCGCCGCTTGCCGGAGCCCGGCCTGCAGGGAAGAAAGACATACCCCCAAAAAGGGTAATTACGATCGACGACGAAGAGGGCGGGCATCGAGGGTTCAGGAAATACATGTTGCATGACACTCAAGCAGATAAGAGCGAACAGTCTTGAACTTATTGTTGCTGCTGTTGCTGTTGTGGTAAGGTGGGGGGCCAACAACACAATTCTGACACCCAAAATTTTGTGTTGTTGTAATCCGGGGGCAATAACCCAGTTTGAGCCGAGTGACATTTAACTGATTCAAACCAGGTGCGAGCCTCGGGAAGGGCACTTAAATTAAACAAACACGCTGGTCACCGGAAGGGGGGGGGGCGATTGTAATTAACCTTCAGTAGTGAGTTCAACAACAACAACAACATCAACAACAACAACAACAGTAACAGTAACAGTAACAGCAACAGTAACAACGACAACAACAACAACAACAACAACAACAACAACAACAACAACAACAACAACAACAACAACATCATTAGCAACAGCAACATCGACAGCAACAACAACAAACCAACACAAACACCACCAACCACACAAGCAGCATCAGCAGCAGCAACAACATTAATCACAACAACACCAACTAATTAAAGCACCACTAACAACAACATCAAAAGACAGCAACATCAGCACACACATCAACAACAACAACAACGACAACAACAGCGACAGCAACAACAACAACAACAACAACAACAACAACAACAACAACAACAACAACAACCACAACAACACCAACAACAACAACAGCAGCAGCAACAGCAACAGCAACAACAAAAGCAGCAACAACAACAACAGCAGCAGTAGCAGCCGCAACAGCAACAGCAGCAGCAGCAGCAACAGCAACAGCAACAGCAACAGCAACAACAGCAGCAGCAACAGCAACAGCAGCAGCAGAA